CATCACACGATACGTAAATAATGGATTTTAGTATTGCACAAGAAAAATAATGCCAAAGGTACTGGTTTAAAAAATTAAGATTAAAGTTAATTAATCAACCTTTAAGGTACCCATAAAATTTCCTAAGTGTTATTAATAATAAAATAGTTTGTTTTATTTATGTTGTTTTATTTATTACAAATTTGTATTTGTTATATTGACAAATATAATCATAAATGCGGGAAGTTTCATAAAGCTTGAAAATAAGAAATAGTTCTTTTTTATATTTTTTTGGTATGTGGTGTCTTCTTCTTGTTTGTTTTGTATTAACACATACCGTTTTTTTATTAAATTAAATAACTCGATTACATTTTTTCAGTTATATACAGTTTTTTTCACAATATTTTGAAGTAATCACTTGTCAGTCAAATTTTAAACATAATAATTTCCTGCTATGCGTTCCAGTTGTACCAACTTATTTCTTTGTAAAATAAAATAAACTACTTTGAAATTAAAATGACAGACACATCTATCACTGTCAAGGATCTTCTCGTTGGACAGACTATATAATAAATAAATATTTTCATTGTTTCTAACGTTTCATTTTTTACTTTTAGGCACTAGTGACTAAACAAGTGTCACTTTTAGATACTAGTGCCTAAAAGAATGTCATTTCGAATCTCAAATAAATATCAAAAACTGTCAATTTTGAAACGCTTTCACAAAAATACATATTTATTATTATTTAAGATATTCGTTTCACCAGCGATATACTTAGCATTTTTTTCCAAGCGCAAAAGTTTCAATATTTTTAAAATCCTTTTAGTAATCCTACATTATTTTAATAGCATAAAATGTTATCGAACAATTATTACGAACGCCACCGATGGAATTGTTACTGACTGTACATTTACTGAAACTTGGTCTTTCTATGGCCGCATGTGGTTTCAACACTATTTGTATCCGGTGCAAAATTTCAATAGCAATTCTGATAAAGATAATTTCATTCGCATCTCGAATTGTATAGTTTTAGTCCATTCTCCGTTCAATTTCAATGACCAAACTTTGATCGAAGTTCGAAACTTTCTAAGGAAGTACCGCTGTCAAAAGTTTTAAGCGGGCAAAGTTCGAACGAATTAGAAGTAAATTATACGGTACGTAGTGCGAGCTGATTATTAAATTTTCTTCCATTATATTATATTAGCGACTTGTTAAAGTACCTGCATTCATTAAGGAATTATAAATTGTCGCGTTCCTATCAAATCAGACCTTAGGAAGTTAAATAAATTTCCGAATTAAAAATTTGTAAAAGTTTGCTCAAGAAAATAATAAGATTCTGTATAAAAAAATCGTAACATAATTAATTAATAAAGTTATTTAACGGTTATTTGTAATTTCCGTTTTTTACCGTCTTTTATTATCTTGGGCACGACAGTGCCCCCGCCAAGTCGAGCACAGCCGTACCATCCTTTTCTCGAAGTTATTAGCGGCACTTTTGACCACCCTGTAACTTCGTTATAAAGCAAGAATATTAATTTTCACTAGGTTACCAAAATATCTAGTAATTATCCCTCATATTTTATGAATTATCGCTTTTCAAATTTCTTTAATTTCGACATTGACCCACTGACAGATCATCAAAATTCTAAAATACTTCTAGATGTGTCACAAACTCCAAATTTAGAATTTTAGGTAGCTTTAACCTTATAACCAAAAAAAAAATGAAAAATCTCAAAATATTCTTATGGATTAAAAGTTAACTGTCTAGCCGTCCAACAATAATTCAAGGATTATGATTTTTTTCTAGTCAGACTTTAATGAAGTCCCTATTTATTGTTTTAGTTTAATATGTTAAATGCTAGGCTTGAACATATTTCGACCAAGGCTTGATAGCGCGGCGGCAAAGTATTCCGCTAGTTCGGAAGGCCGAACTCGGGAGGCCCGAGTTTGAGGCTGCATCGGGGCATAATTTTTTTTATTTTATTTTCGTTAATATTCTGATTGTAAAATATTAAATACATATCTTAAACAATAATTCAAGGATTTATCTCTTATAGATTTCGAGATAAAAAATAAAATATCTGTAAAATTGACAAAAAAATAATTTTGAATAAGCATTGGTAAAATTGTGAATTGAACATTTTTAAAGTTGATATTTGAGTTATAACGAAAGTCGGAAACACAAGTGGTTAGAAAACTAGAATTAATTCAATTGTTATTATCTGACTTAATTAATTATACGATAATTCAAAGTTGATGAATTATAGTCAAACTCAAAAAATAGAAGAATAACCTACAAAAAGAAATAAGATCCCATCAAAAACATAGAATGTAAAAAATGCCCAGTCTCGCAACACAATTACTCCGCTATAAAAAGTTGTGAGATCTCATGTAAAACCAAGTCAGTTTATTTTATTTAGTCTCTCTTTAAGCACATATTCAACAATTTTGATATAAATGCATAGTATCAAGTGGATGTGCATGTACATGTAAATGCATAGTATCAATATTAGTCATCTTTATTTCTATAATAATTATAATGACTTGGCAATTGGACGATATGATATCCTATAGTAATTAATAAACTTTATTCTTAAGGGCACCGTTTATTAGATTTACTTAGTAATCGAAATAGTAGATTATTCTTTTTTATAGTTATGGTACCGGGCGTACTCCACCAACCTCAGAATTAGCCTACATACCCACTAGGTGATGGGTGCGAATAGTTTAAAATTGGTTTTAAACTCAAATCAATATTATCTTATAAGTGAGCTGGACCCCCTAAAAGTCGGTGTCTAGTTACGCCAATTTGCACACCACTGATGTTAGCCACACCGCCAGAAACACGTGTCTGTGGTAAACAGATGTTTTCCGGTTGCTTTACAGCTCATACCGCCAAAATGTTTTCTCTTTATATTTGTTTTGCTTTTGCAGCAAATCAAACGTAGGTACTTTATCCTATTCCAAATTTCATTATCCTCTGCTGTAACGCAATTTAAAATATGTTTTTCCGATAAAACAAACATTATACTTAATAAACATTCCTATTTATAAAAGCTGGTTTAATGCATAATAATAGCATTATTGTAATTTTGCAGCAAATTCATGCAACAAACAAATACAGTACTAAATAATAATATAATTTTTTACATATTAAGTTGTTATTTTTATTTTTTTAATAGTATTGATTAATTACTTTTGTAATCGTAGCCTATAAAAATATAATAATAATAATAATAATAATAACTCCCGTATATAGCGTTTAACGCCTTGGGAGTAGCAAGGTACAGCTTGCGATGCTAGAGCCGTTCGGTATACAAGGAAGGTAATGTGGCTAGCGCTACGCTTCAACCGCCTATTATTACCTCAGGATTGTGAATCCCAAGTACTCATTTAAGGCTGAGTCGACCTAGGTACCCAAACTATTTTTATTTTAATAAAAATAGTCGGCTGATGAAATGCCGGGTGTAGGATTCGAACCTACTACGTGGACTAGAGACTGTACAGGGTGGATCAAATTCGACGCTTTTAAATGGAAACACCCTTTTCTATAGGAGATAGTTGAAAACTAATATTGGTGTCTGGAGCTCAATTTTCATCAAAAACATGATGGTGAAAACCGCACATCAATATCTGTTACCGTTTCGGTTGTGTTTTTCAAAAATGTGCATTTTTAACAAATCGCTGTAACTTTTTTACTATGGAAAATTTTGTATTTCTATGAAAAATTTCCAAAGCACCTTTTTACGTAGAATTTAATGGTTTAAGTATATTTTTTTAAAAATTAATAATTTAAGAGTTATCAACAGAAAAATTTATTTTTTATTAGGGACACCCTCTACTTCGTACACCCCGTAACTCCGAAACGGTAACAGATATCGACATGCAGTTTTCACCATCATGTTTTTGACAAAAATTGAGCTCCAGACACCGATATTAGTTTTTGTCTATCTCCTATAGAAAAGGGTGTTTTCTTTTAAAAGCGTCGAATTTGACCCACCCTGTACCTCTACGCCACCGGGCACCTTATATACCAAATATAAAATCTTTATTTTAAAAATTAGTTAATTTGAAAATAATGTTCCAGTTTTTAAAAATAAATGGAAGTAAAATGTTGAGGTTTTTAATTACTAAAAGAAAAGTAAAACATTTTATAATGACATTTAATATAAAAAATCCCCTCAACTTAATGACACAGCGGTTTCATAAACCGCATGATCGAAAAAATGATCAAAAAAAAGACGGCTGTGAACCAACAATCGATAATAATTTTGGCGAGGTTAATCTCTAGATGTGTGAGTGTCAAGTCCATTTGTTAGACACATTTCTGCTGTTTCGAAATCTTTGGCTAGCGCCAGATCGCTAGCATAAATAAAACTTTTTGTGTTGGGGGTGTGGCTGGTCGTTACTATAGATGTCGAATAAGATTGGTGACAGAACGAAATTGAGAGGCTTGGGGTAGGCCACTTTTTTGTATCCTCCACCCACTCTTCTTGCCATTTAGTTCTACATAAAATCTACGGTTCTGGAGAAGAACTCTTACGCGAAGCTGGTAAAGATGTAGTCTTTCATCAGTTGGTATAATTTATGTAGCATGAGATTATGCTGCACAGTATCGTAAGCTGCGGAGAGATCTACGAAAACAGCACCCGTTACTAAACACTAAACTTACAACACTAAAAGGGATGCAAATACAGAAAAAATCCGGTGACTCTCAATTTATTTTAATAAATATTTGTCTTTTATTTTCAAACCTTAATAACTCAATTATTTTTGACTTATTTGAAAAACGGAGAAAATATGCTTCTTTTATCGAGATCTACCAGCCCTGAAAATATTTGCACTTATTTAAGACTCACCATGTATATTTTTTTATAAATGTACCCATTCACGTTCAGTTGTCCGGCAGTTCCAGGACTGTTCGTCCTTGCCGGCCGGCAATAGGCACAACTCGATGCACTCATACCACAGCTTACAGAATAACATAGCTTTGACACTCGCCAATTTTTCCCACGCTCTAAAGTCCCTAGATATATAAAGTACCGCAATTACCGCCATATTGGCGCCAAAACTAGCGGCAAATTTAAAAAGGAGGCCAACATTTCGCTGTTTCGGCTTTTTAAGCAGCTGGTCGGTCCGGCGCCAATATGGCCGACCAACATTGACAGGCAAGCCGTAAAATAAAATATTTATTAATTGTAATAGAATTACGTTTATTATCTACAGTTTACCTTCATTTTAATGTAATATCAGGTGGTATAATAATATTCAATTTCATAAATTTAATTTTTTAGGCCTATATATGTTAAGAGGTTATAAACGAATGGTTTCCGTACAAGTGTTTTTCATTTGTATTAGCATTTATGTTATGTTACCTTTTAGCGCAAAGTACGCCAACAGAAGTAAGTTAATAGGTAAGAAGAAATAAAGGTGGAATAACATTTTGAATTTTAGTACTTAATTCAGTCGAAACAATTGGAAAAACTTTGTTTGTTGATGAGAACGGGATACCTATACCATAAGTAAACTTTCCCTATTATACCAGTTATGCTGTAGTTAGTTTTGACAAATAAGCATGATTTAACGAAAGCCTTTGGAACTATGAATAAGCTACAAACTTATATTTGAATGCCGGCTTTTATACGAGAAAATTTTGAACCATGGTTGAAACAAATAAATGTAATAATTAAATTGATATGATACATACCTGCTATTTTTGAAATATATTAATATATTGATAGAAAGATTGTTTCAATTAGTATTACTTCAGATAGTTTCGGTATTTTAGGTATGTAATTGAGCACTTAATTTAAAAATAACTTAGAAAGAAGCTTGAAACGCATAGGAGCTCTTTATGTATGCTGTATAATTAAGGTTTGTATGTTATGGAGTGATTTTTATACAACAAATTTATTATTAGTTGAATAAAAGCAAGTTAATACCACATAATACAATTAAAATATATTTTACTCTGCAATTTAATGTTATATTTTTAAAACAACAAGTGTCATAATGTTTAAGTATCATTATAATAAAAAAGTTATACTGCTATAAATTTAACATTGAAATAACTGTAATTATTGTTATACATAAATTAAGTAGGAATAATTTTACCTCGACAATATGTAAAACTTCAAATGAATCTTAACAATTTTATGTCATGTATAAAAATCAAATTTAAATCACACACTTTTATTTATAACTGACAGTATAAGACCAAATTTTTAAATATAACTTTACATGCTTACATTATATTGTTTACTTTCTATTAGTAATTACAATATGAACCAAAAAATATTAATTACTATCAATAAATACATAAAAACTAATCTATTTAAGTCCATGAAAATAACTATATAGTTAGCATATGCATAAACAACATTCTTGTTATTAGGATCAAATTTATTTGAGCTTTTTTTCATTGTTTTGATTAATATCCCTGTTAGTCCTGACTGGTAAAACCACCTGAAGCGATGTCATCCAAATCTATATATGTATCATAACATAACTTATTCTTTTAAATAATTATCCTTCGTTTGGTCTGATGATAATATATTGTAGATTTATCTAAACTTCTTGCTGCAAAATGTTGAAAACTAAACTACACTAAACATTTTAGGGAATGATTACGTAGAGATTTCACTTACACTTAGCATCCTTTTTAAAAGATATGTATGGTAGTTTGCAAGTAAGGTCTTTGTCTTGTTCTAGATTAGATTTCTAGAGGTTGATTTCGGCCTGACCCACTGCGACCTTCTCAGATCTATTGTGGTCTTGTCTTGTTCTATAATGAAGTTTTATGTACCAGTAGGTTATACTACAAATAAGATTGTTAAAAATATTCACTGGAGCATAAATAAATTCAATCCACTACCTAACGTGTATTGAATATCGACGATGTTAGAAAACACATCAAATGGCGGCCTTTTCGTGTAATACACATTTCTTCACTAAAGATATCGACGCCTATACATTATTAACTAAAAATTTGTAGCATTTTAGTGGATTTATAATTATTTTAAAATATGTGGATAAATATTTTTATCCTAAAATTGACAGCTTCTCAACATTTGACATGACAAATTCAGACAAATGTGACATTTAAACAGTCCTACCACTACAGTTTTTCCAGAAATACCCCAAAAATCCGCCATTTTGGCGCCAATAACATTGAACAAACCAATTGCGGTACTTTATATATCTAGGGACTTTACCACGCTCGAATTTAAAGCGCCCCACTCCGACGATGCGCTAACTGAATTAAGCGACCGACAGTCAGCCTCATTCAGTCGATGCATACCCTCCACCGGTGGCGCGTAGGGCCGTATTACGGAAGATTTTAATTCGATTTTTTTTTTATATATTTAACCATAGGTATTTGTGTTTTTATTTCAATTTTATTTTTATTGATGGAATGGGGAAAGGTTTTCCGGGACGTGCGGCTGCTGGTTGCACAAATAATTATGGAAATAATTCAAAATATAGTCTGTTTAATTTTCAATTCAAAAGTATATTCACACTATAGAGCTTTTCAAAAAGTTGTCCGATTTTGATAAAAATCGATGATGGCCGTGGGCTAAAATGAAAGGAAAAAAATTTGAGCTGTCAAATGTGACAGCTGTCAAATAATTTCAAATTTGTCCGATTTTGATAAAAATCGATATATTGGATGCCCCCTACCCCATAGTCGGTTTTCATTTTATTTGTCTCACATTTGAACTGTGAAATTTGACGGCTGTCGTTTTTTTTAAGTTCTCCTTTTTTAATGAAAATCGATATACATATTATTAGGATACCCATAGAAAGTTATTTAAGAAAAAATTGAGTTTAAGTGTGCGGCACTGAGAAACCAGCATAACTAAAAAGTAGAAAATAAATTTTATAAAAAAACCTTTTTAAAAACAAGTTTTTATTTAAATACACTAAAAGAATAAAATAAACTCTTTTTCTTTAAAACTTTTATTATGAACTTAGAACGTCATTACACAATTTTAATATTAGATGTATAAAAGCTTGTCGCGAGATTTCTCTACATCGATAAACAAGTAAATTAACTAAAACCTGTGTCTACCCTGTCTCATTTTCAAAGCTTGTGTTATTAATGACCACTAGACCAGGAATTACAAGATAAAGTTGTCGTACCAGATTTTTATGAGTGCAACTGTACACTCAAATCTCGCGACAAGCTTTTATATAATATTAAAATTGTATAATGACGTTATAAGTTCATAATAAAAGTTTTAAAGAAAAAGTTTATTTTATTCTTTTTAGTGTATTTAAATAAAAACTTGTTTTTAAAAAAGTTTTTTATAAAATTTTTCAGAACAATTTTGAAGAACTTTCCTTAAATGAAAATATATTATGTAAATTCGTTAAATTATTTCAGACAATTAAATTCAACCATCAATCAAAATTTTCCTATAATGTATTTTTTGTTAAAATTATACGCAAAAGTTAGAATTTATTATACCTTAAAGAATATTAATAAGAACTTAAATGTAGCAAACAAAAACCGAAAGCTCCTAATTTAGAAACATTCGTAAATAACTATAAGTAATCAATGTACCAATTTCATTTTGCTGTTATTTCTAGAAATAAATTAATTAATTTGTTTTTTAAATGTTTTTCTTTGAGAATGCATATTTATTTAAAGTCAACAATTTAAAAAACGTGTGTCTAAATTATGTTCTAGCACCAGTCGAATAATTTTTTACGTCACGTGTAAAATATTTTTGAATACATCTCTGGGCTGACTGGCGCTTACGCGGCTATTGGTTTTGGCGAGAGAGCTCGCCGCTCTAGTGTTCCCCCTCTTTCGAATCGCAAATCCGAGCGTAAAAAGATCAAAGCGGCACGCTACACTGTCCGAGCTGGTTTTTACTTAAGCTGTGCTCATACAGTTAAATACTTGGTGGTTGACCTTCAGTTCGTGACCGGATACGATATTTTCCGGACGTTTATACCTATTTCAGTACACACATTCAGTTTACGATCGACTATGTCACAAGAAGAGTGTGCTGCCGCCCTTGTGGTAATAACAACCGAGAACAAGAAAAGAAAAAGAAAGAAAATTTGGGTGAAAGAATGGTTGCAACAACGTAGTATTTTGTCGCACATGGAACTTCTAAAAGAACTTCGAAATTCAAGTGCAAATGACTTAAAAAATTATTTAAGAATGAACGACGAGTGTTTTCAGTTTTTACTAAATTTAATTAAACCGCATATCACAAAAAAGGATACGGTAATGCGACAATCAATTAGCCCAGAAGAAAGACTTTTAATAACATTAAGATATTTGGCCACTGGTATGGAAGATTAAAATTCAGTGCTGTTTTACGGTAAATTTCAATGAAGTCTTTTATGAAAGATGGTTGATTGGCCATATTCTTGATTATCCGAACTGAACGGAGAATAAAATTTTTAGCTGAACTAAAATTGTGCCGGCTGTCCACTATCGTCCGGCGAACCACTACACACGCTGGGTTTTTATCAACAAACGGAAAACAGCAGGTTACTGCCTGTGATCTACCTGCATGTGTGTACTGAAAATCTGCCGGCCGGCATCGGCCAGTTCGGAGATAATCGGCCGGCCAACTGAACGTGAATGGGTACCTTAACTTAATAGTTACATGATATTTTATCCTCATTACTTTATAAGAAATAAACTGCTGATAATTTGTTTTATTTAGGATTAAAAGCTGGTGAATTTAGTTTTCGTAGTAAGAAAGTCCTTCCAATATAAGCTAGCTGCATCTCCATTACAATATAGAAACTACATCACAAAGAAAACTAAACCTGCTTAAAATTCAAGATTGCACTCGCTGCCGAGATTTCAGCTGTATAGAGACTTAATTAATCTATTTCGAATTCTTTTGCGTTAGCGCTTTCTACTCTGAGCATTCCCGGCTAATTAATATTGCTTTCGTTGCTTTATAAGTGGAGATAAAAAGTGTGTTGTCTACAAAGGCTGCTTAATTTTGTTGTTGGAACGCGCGGAAGTTCAGCCAAATTAAATTTGCCTGAAAAAGGATTTAGTCAAATGACCTTTTTATTTTATTGTCTTTTGCGTGCGGTATTTATTGCGCTGCACAATCCAGGTCCAACGATAATATTATTCATGGAATTACCTTTTATACGTTGGAAAGTTCAATATAATTTTATTCAAATGCGCCACTATTTTTATTTTTATTGTGAATTAAAACTAATTTTGATATTTTATTTGCATATACCTATTTATTCATATAACTATGTACCATGTGGCCAACTATATCAATGAACGCCGGCTCTATTAGTCTAAGAGCTAGCAACGTTTTCGAGAAAGTATTTTAAGACGTAAGTATCTTTTACTATGCTCTCTGGAACAGCATGCTGTTCTAGAGAGCATAGTAAAAGATATATCAAAGAGCCAGACGTCTTAAAATACTTGTTTTTCCGACGTCGCTAGCTCTCGTACTATATACTCTGTTTTTTTCTCAAGTAAGATTTCAACAGACGATGACAGAAAAAAATCAGATATGACGTCCATACTAATCTATATACACTCACCGGCAAAAAAAACCGGCCACTAAAAACTAGCCACAATTTCAAAGTTGGATTTCTCGCGAACCACTCATTAGATTTTGATAATTTTTGGTTAAATTGTAACCTTCTTAACGGATGCTACATCAGCAATTTTTATTCCAAATTTATTTTGAGCATATATAGCTCACAACAATAAGACGAAGTTTTTTGCCCGAACTTTGTAACACCCTGTAGAGTGC